CTCTCTCTCTCTCTCTCTCTCTCTCGGGGCCAAGTTTGTTTTACTTCTTGTCACAAGCTTGCCAAAAAGCAGCACTTGCCAAATTGTGAAGATCGTGTAGAGTAAAGTTTCAGTTTTTACCATATAGGAGAAGCCTCATTAGATTTGGGGAAGTAAATTAAGCTGAAAAGGCCAGTGCCCATCTCGAAAGTTTCAAGCTTTACATTTAAGTTTTGCAAGTGGTTTAAGTCTCTTGACTTGGTTAGTCATTATATGAAACTGTTATGCGTTGCTGGAATAAAATTGGTCAAAGAATCAGTTTGCATAATGACTAACCAAGTCAAGAGTTTTTGTTATATTAGAATTAAAGATATGAGGAACCAGAAGAAAGATAAAATTAATAAAAATACAAATTTATATGTATAAATATTTTTTTGTTATTTTATATACTTTTATTACAAATTTAACAAAAAAATTATAAAAAAACATAAGAAAAACTTAAGCAAAAATTAATATATTTTAAGTAAAAATTTAGTGATTTTAAATAAAAATTCAGTGTTTTTATCTCTAATAAGTTTATAGTAACTATTTTAATGTTCTGAAAAAATTGTATTATTTTTCAGTGTAAAATTAAAAATGGCATACTTGTAATTTATAAGATTATAGTTCGATATATTGTCTTTTGCCAAAATATAATATTCTAGTTTAGTAAGTAATTATTATAATGGCTAATTTAGTATTTAAACTGATTTATCAATTACATTTTGAGTATTAAATCTTACTTACAAAATCATCTCCAATTAGTTTTAGTTTGAGTATGTTAGTTTCTAAGTTTGACCTAAAGTTATCTCTAGATAAAAAATTATAGATTTAACGTAAAATTTACACATATCACTGAAATTGGATTTTAAGGATATATATCTACTCTATTAAAATAGAGTCATTCTTATTATCTACTGATACAAGTTGTCATTTAAATTTGGATCATTTCTAGAATGTTACAAATAATATAAATCATATAATTGATTGAACCGTATTAAATTAAACCAACACAATTAATGTAAAGAGACGACCTTAATGTAAACTACGTTCAAAATACGGCAGATATCTATGTGTATACCAAAAACACATATTTGCTCCTACAAATATGGAATGTTCTAGAAAAATATATATCATCAAAATATGGAATATGAAAATCTACTAATTATACTTAAATTAAACCAGTGGTTATTTATGAAATATAGTCTTGGGGCTTACTTTTATTTTTTGAACAAATTATATAGTTTGGTTTTTTGGCTTAGTATTAAGAAAAAACTCCAAAAACATTGGATAAACTTTTCACCTTAAAAGATCAAAAGTCAATTATTATTTTCAGTCCCAAAGGTATTTAATATTTTTAAGAAAACAGAATTATCTATTATTAATCATTTTATTTAAATAATTTACTTTAAAACATGTTAATATATTTTTTATTTTAAATAACAATCACTTTGTTTTGATAAATTTCAATGGTAACTTTTAAATAATTTATTGTTTTATTTTTCTTAAATAATTTACTGATTAAAAAATGTACAGCAAAACCAAATCTAAAAACTAAAATCCAAAACCAAAATCTGAAAACACATGTTATATTTTTTGTTTTGTTTATTTACAAAATAAACTATTTCAAAAAAGTTTTTTTAAAAATTGTTATCATCTTTTCAGTTTTAAATTAGATGTTCGATTATTTGAGATTTGTTTGTTGCTAATATTAGTTCAAACTAACTCAGCGGTTTAAAAATTAAAAACCCAAACCAAAAAATGAAAATGAAAAGTAGAAATTTAAAAAGTAAAAACCAAAATCTAAAAATAAAAACTGAAACTAAAAACTAATGAAAAACAATCATCACCACAAATTTTGGTGAACTGATTCTATATCAAAATATTGTTTAAATTAAGACAAAACTTAATTATATAATTTTTTAATCATAAAAAATTTCCGCGCTTTCAAGCGCGGGTCAAAATCTAGTATATATTATTTCTTTGTTTAGAAACTAATTAGTAACGTATGTACCAATTTGTTGACGGAAAAAAAACATATGTACCAATTTGCTCTAAACCCAAAAGCAAAACATCTCCACAAAAGAAAAAGACAAAAAAAAACAATGTCAGCACAGAAGATTTAACTTGCCTATTTCCTAACTTTATTTCTTCTATTTTCACAATCAACTGGTAATATACATTGTCTACCTTTAGTTATGTATAACTTAATGATGTAATAAAATAAGCTGATTATGTTACCAAAAAAAACAATAATAATAATAAGCTGATTCAGATAATTTATTTTTAAATATCTTTTTTCAGCTAAATGTCGCTATAGATTCCCACCTTCAGGCCCTTGTAAGAAAAGTGACGACTGCAAGAACACATGCACAATGCGTGACGAAGATTCAACTTTTCAACTGTGACTTGGGAATGCCCCAATGTTTGGCAGATGTTGTTGTTTAGTAAAACAACATATTCTTGTACGTCAATGATAAATCGATATATCTGTCATTGCCTATCATAAGATTTAAAATCAATTAAAAAAAATGGTGCAAAAATTTTTTTAATTGATTTTAAATCTTATGATAGGCAATTTAAGTTTGCACCATTTTTTTTAATTTTCCTCTAGAAGTTCAATACCAACTGATTATCACCATAGTCCGTCTCTGAGTATATGACTGCTTTCTCTCCTTATCTTGAGATCGGGTCAAAGAGAAAAGGTTGTTTACACACATCAAGAAGACTTTCAAATACACGTTTGCTCATAAATAAATTAGCAGATAATTAGACATAAGTTCTTTGTACTTTCCTCCTTAGATTAAATTTAAATTGTATTAGATAAAACTATAGATTCTACATATCACAGAGATATAAATAAGAAGAACCATTTATCTCTTCTACGAACCCAAAACAAAAACAAAATGTTATTTCTCTATAAAAGTTCTATCTTGTGCAGAGCAGGGGAAACTGAAATGACATCAGACTTTGCCTTCGAGTTTATCGTTACTAACAAGAGGAAGCAACTCCATCTTGTTTCTCGGTGTACGAGGAGTCCTTGGAGTTCCTGGCTGCTGCTGTGAAAGCATATGCCTCACGTATCCATAGAATGTGCATCCCACAAGCGTAATCCCACATCCAACAGCATTCATATACGATATCGGGTTACGGAATATCAACCATGACACCAATACAGCCACCGCAACCTGCAACAAGTACATATAAAACTATGATCAAGACAGCATTCATATACGATTATTGAGCTTTAAGATTGTCCTTTGTTACCTTGAGGTTTCCAGCTACGTTGAATGTGACTGCAGTTGTGGAGTGAATGACATAGAAGATGGAGAAGTTGAGACAGAAGGCTAACACACCAGAGCTGAAGATGATGGTGAGTGCTGACCATGGAGATGGGTGAGCTTCAAACCAACTCAGGATTCCGTTGCCTTCTAGTAGTAACGCAGGTATACCGAGGATCATGGTGGCGAAAGGCGCCATGTAGTATACTGTGTTTATGCTAACATAAACAAGAACAGAACAATCAATTCATTGGTTAACTTATCAAAAGTTGAAGTGATTAACTCTTAACCGGAAATACAGATACATGAATCACCTTAGTATCTAAAACCAATTACAATGAATGCTTTTTTCAATAAAGACTAAGACGGCATACATCATTCTCTAGTGCAAAATCACTTCAATGAAGAGACAACAAGGAGACACTGACCTGTCAAATTTGTAACCATGAAGAAGAGATTCGGCAAGAATGGTCTTAGTGGAAGTAGCTAAACACCCAAACAGAGCAGCACAGAAACCAAACATGTTAAAGCTAAGCTCAGTGACAGAAGTCAGAAGAATCCCACCAACAATGGGGACAAGAGACGCCCAAATACGCCAGTCGAAGTACTTCCTCCAAACCAGCCACTGTAACACAACTGCTCAACACACATATACACTATCAGACTCTCTTGAGATCATCCAAGGACAGACAAAGAGACAGATTCTAACCTGTAGTAGCGGGAGTGAAGGACTTAATTGTCTGCATGAAGGAAACAGGGATGTAACGGAGGCTGACATTACCCAACACAATGTTGATACAGAACACGAAAGACATAGGGAAGATCCTCCTCCAACGATCTTCTGCCTCAACAACGATCAAAGGTTTAAGCTTCAGGATTTTGATGAAAATGTAAGCTCCAATTGATGAGCATATGAAGTGAACACAGGAAACCGATAGTGGGAACTTGAAATCCAGTTTCTGCATAGATTTCCCATAAAATCAAAGTTGTAAACTTTACATTCGAAAGACAGAGAGAGAGAGAGCAGATCAAATATAAACCTGGAAGATCCATTTGTTCATGATGATGACGGTGACGTTGAAACCCCACCATTGAAGAATCGCTAGTAGAGATCTGAAGACACTTCCTTCCTCCATCTCTCTCTCGCAATCTGATCTCTTTCTTCAGAAAAGTGATAGACTTTCGGAATCAGATCGGGAAAAGAGGAAAACCCACGAAAAGTTTAGGAGGTGGAGCCGTGAGAAAGAGAGAGATATCGAGAGAAGGCGAAGGAGGAGGAGGAGGAGAGGAAACTCTAATGAAAGTGAAAGGTGGAGAAGATAAAGGTAGCAGAGAAGAGTTTTCGTTCCGTGTGATTTGTTTCGAATTCTCTTCTTCTTCTCTTCTTTCGTCAATCTCTTAAACGTCTCTCTTCCTCTCTCTCTCTTACGCCATGGAAACAATGTTTTTGCTCTTCCGTAGGTTGCAATAGTTTCATTATTATTTTTGTAAAAGATTATTTTTATTTAGTAGTATAAGATATTTATTTGATTATATTATTCAGTTCATGCGAAAATGCAAGTAACATTTTATGCATTTTTTTTTATCTTTTGTGAAGTTTTCATTTTTTTTTTACATAATACAAAATGAGTGCTATGTTAAGCAGCAGTTTTGTGACTATAAGTACAGGATAAGACCATGTTCAAAGGGGAGCACTTAGGGCATGTTCAAAGGGGGAGCACTTTAGGGTGTGCTTAGAGTGAAAATATTAGTTAAAAAATGGATTTGAGTTAAGAACAAGGAAATTTTCAAAGGGAGATCATTTCTTTAAAGGGTGTGCTTAAGAAAATGTTGAGTTTGAGGTAATAGATGAAGAAGCACCAGAGGAAGCCGGAGATGAAGTAGAGTAGTGTTCCGGCGAGGTAATTGCAGAACGATGTTTCGTCGACGAACTGCATCAGATACGCAGCATCCACCGCCATTTTAATTTGAATCCGCCGCACGAAAAAATTGGCGATTTGCCGGAATCGGTGCCGAAAAACGAGAGAATATTTTTCGGAGTGGAAAAAACGAAAACCCTTATTTTCCCCTTTTTCTCGACCAATATGCGCGTGACACGTCCCCAAGCACATGAGCTAAGCACTGGTCTTCAACAAGAACTCTCAAAGTGTTCTTGGGCCACTTTTATATTAAATCCTATTTTTAAAATGCCAAGCACATAGCATATGTGCCCCCTTTGAACATGGCCTTAGAATGTACTTAGACTTATTTTAAATGGAAAAAATTTAAAATTGGGCTAAGATCAGTTTAATAGTGCTTGAACAAGATCAGTTCTTAGCCTTGCTCCTGGGCGACGTGGCAGTTGGTGATTGGAAGAAAATCATTAAACCAAAATTATTCGTTCACCTTCTTTTCTCTCCGCGCTTCTCCAATTGATCTGAATCGTCTCCACTACGGGCAATGGCACCGTCGCGAAGACCTCTCCGTACCCACAATCTGTGGGATTTCTCGGATCTCGGGTCGGAAATTGGCCCGATCCAGAAAAAGATACTCTGGCGAAAACGCTTCGATATGTAACTCGGTGGGAAATTCGGCATTGAATTTGTATAGAAGCGGGTAGAGACACAGATCGGATCCCATTTCGAATCCTTGGCTTCCGACTTCGCTCCGTTTATGATCAGAATAAAAAGTTACCACATGGATTTTAATTAATTTTTTTTTGTTAAGCACACCCTTAACAAGTGATCTCTCTTTGAGGATGTCCCTTATTCCTAACCTAAATACATTATTTTACTACTATTTTCACTCTGAGCACACACCTTAATGCTCTCCCTTTGAGGATGCCCTAACTAGTTCACTTATTTATTTACTGATGTCAAGTATCAAGACTTTCACCAAAAGAAAGCTAAATTGCAGTTTCTGTTTCTCCTTTTTTATAAAATTTTGGTATTACAATTGAACCATTTTTAAAAAAACTTACTATTATTGAACAATTATGTCTGTTTTTAGTCACAAACGAAATATATTTTGTTATTTCTCAATTTTAAATAAATTGTGAAAAAAAATACATTTTGCCTTGTGGTATTTAGTCACACATACTTCCGAGGGTATGGGGAGATCATTGCCGTCCGATGAATATACTTCTCTCATGAGTCATGACGTTGACTTCCCACTGCTACTGTCTATTTTTTATTTTTATTTATTGGGTAGGGAATATCTAATTTATTAATTATTATCTTACAAATTCTAGATATATTCTTTTTAGTAACGTTTGTTTGTCAACAACCTATACGTTATGTATTAGTCCACATTCAATTTGCTTTTATTCCTTGTAGTTGATCAACTTATAAACAAAAAAAAAAAACTTATTTTTTAATCAAAAATTACCAAATGATACTTGTAGCATTTTTTTTTTTGCAAAGTTCAAGTTAAAATTATTATGGACCAAGTTACTCTGTTATTATTATCTTTGTTGTCAGCAGAATGTTCAATGCAGAAGGTTATTGAGTAAAACTATGAGATAGCCTTTTGAACCTAATAGAGTCTTAATTTTTTTCTCGAGACTAATAAGTTAGGCAGCCCAATTGTCAAAGAAAACGGCAATGATATTTATGAATGGATGCTCACTGGTCATTATAAAGTATATATATATACATTCATCTCTAAACATATATCATATATACGTACACTACAAGAAAACTCGGCATTTACTAGAAAATTTTACTAGGAAAATATTTTCTCGTACATTTACTACGAGATTACTTCGATTTTACGAGAAAAACAAGAATCCTCGTAAATTCCTCGTAAACATACGAGAAAACTGTTTCCTCGTAAGACCGTAGTAAAATTACGAGGAAATTACGTGACAAAAGAACATCTCCTCGTAATTTCATAGTAAAACTTTTGCTCGTAAAGTCCTAGTAAAACATTACTACGAAATTAAGAGGAAATGTTCTTTTCCTCGTAATTTCGTAGTAAAACTTTTCCTCGTAAAGTCCTAATAAAACATTACTACGAAATTATGAGGAAATGTTCTTTTACTTCTAATTAGTGAGGAACTGGTAAAAAATATCTATTTTAAATCTAAAACGTGTTTTGACTGTAACTTTCCTCACAATTTCCTACTAAATGTTCAGATTCGAAAATTTCTATAAATACCACCATTTGTTATTCATTTCAAACACACCAAACAAATAGAAAACACTCAGTTCATAACTGAAAGGAGTTCACAGTCAACAGAATAGTTTCTTATCAACTCGGCATAGCTTTTCCTCAAAGAAATAGCTTGGGGCTTTTCCTCAGGTAGATAGTTCGAGGAAAGCTATGCGGGGTTGATAAAAACCGTTCCGATGATTGTATACTTCTTTTAGTTTTTTTTTTTAATTTGTGATTTGGGGTTTAGGAAGATGTAGAGGTATAAGTTATGGAAGTTGGTTTAGGTTTAGGGTTTAAGGTTTAGGGAATTTAGATTAGGTGGTTAGTTTAGGGAATTTATATTAGGTTGTTTAGTTTTGAGAATTTGGGGTTTAGGTATAGAAGAGGTTATAAGTTAAGGAAGTTGTGGTTTGGTGTTTGGGGTTTCGAGTTTAGGGATTTACAAACCATTTCCTTGTAAAACCCTAGTAAAAGAAAACACGGGACTCGTTGTTTCCTAGTAAATTCCTAGTAAAATGTTTCCTCGTAAAGTCCTAGTAACAGAATTACTAGGACTTTACGAGGAAACCTAAACGCGGGACTCGCGATTTCCTCGTAAAGTCCTCGTAACCCTAAACGTGGGACTAGCTATTTCCTCATAAAATTACAAGGACCTTACGAGGAAACCCTATTCCCTATATAAGTCGAGTCATCCGATTTCTCTCATTTGTAGCAATCTTCTCTCAAAATCCTCTTAAGGTAATATCTAATTCCTAGTTAAGTGATTAGATTAGAGAATTTAAATTAGGTGGTTAGTTTAGGGAATTTAGATTAGGTGGTTAGTTTAGAGAATTTAGATTAGGTTAGTTTAGTTTTTTCAACTGTTTTTTAAATGATATTAGTATATCAATGATACTAGTTGTCGAGCCGGGATGACGACTTCGTTCGTCAATTTAACGAGGATGTTCGTAGTTTAGTTTTTTTTTTCTTTTTAATCGTATATGAATTTAAAACTTAATTATTTAGTTATTTATAAAATATTTTGTTATTTCTTTTTTATTTATAATTTGGATTCTTTAATTTTGTAAAAATATATTATTCATATTTATTTTAATTATTTTTTTTAATAGGGAAAAATCTTTCGAAGTAAATTCCTAGTAAAGCATTATTAGGAAATTACGAGGAAAGTGGAAAAATATTTCGAAGTAAATTTCTAGTAAAGCATTACTAAAAAATTACGAGGAAAGTGGAAAAAGATTTCGAAGTAAATTCCTAGTAAAACATTACTAGGAAATTACGAGGAAAGTGGTTACTACGACTTTACGAGGAAATGTGTCTCCACGCGTTTACGAGGAATTTTTTCCTCGTAAATTTACTAGGAAATTACGAGGAAAAAGACTTTACGATAAACGATTCACGACAAAGCGCGTTTCCTCGTAATTTCCTAGTAAATGGTCCTTTACTAGGAAATTACGAGGCAAAGCCATCCTAATAAAACTTGTGTTTTCTTGTAGTGGTATCACTAGCAAAATGCATGGTATTTGTATAAGTACATGCACGAAACCAATTCTAACATGTATTATTCCTGTTTACAACCATTCAGTATGGAGGCTTTTACTGACATGGACAATCCACGAAAAAGGTCAACCCATCTACATGGACAATCCACGACAGGCTTTTATGTGAACAATAAGCTATGAAAAATTAATAGACAAGCAACTAACTGTATATACATATATATATAAGATAAGTGAATCAAAAACAAAAAGTTCAACAAAAGTGAATGAAAGTAGGCAACATTGGTTTCCCTTTTGCATAATGTAAGCAATGATTCCGTGACACATGCATAAACCAAAGCTTCCACAAGCAAATGAGGAAACCCACTTGGGAAATACGGGAAGAAACCAACAAAAGTAAAGAAAAACATCTATTTAGAGAAACTCGTCCTATCACATTATTCATTTATTCGTATTCTTGATGCGGGTTTCAAATTTTAAATTATTGAACATTGATCCAAACGCTTAGAAACCCAAAAATGAAGTGGAGACAACAGTATGATCAAGTGTCTCAATTGCTTCGCCACCACTGAATGAGTAGAATCTGATCTGCAGAAACCAAAATTATAATGATGCTATGAAATCAACAATGAACAAATCATAACCACGTATTCTAAAAGCTTAATATCGTTCCACAGTAATCAAACGTTTCAAAATGCTGGCTCATCATTGTAGACGACAGTCAATTACACAGTATAAAAATTGAAACTCAAAGGAATTAACAAATGTCGAAAAGGGCATATCAACATATATGGTGTTAGATAATCATAGTCGCTGATAA